GTGTATGTTACAAAGAAGTAGGCCCTAACACCAGTGAATTATTAGTGAGGGCAAGCAGGCAAGAGAAATTTTCTTTCCCTGTTCTTTATATAGGCTACCACCAGAAGGTGAGGCCCGTATCAAAGATGGATCTTCCCATCGCAAAGATCCAAATTAAAGATGGGTCTTCCCACTTCAAATGATTTAATTAAGAATAAGCCCTCACAGGTGTATCCAGCTGCTTGGGTTTTAATAAATTTCAATGCAGTCAAGATGTTGACCAAGAATAGCTATCCCAGCAGAGATGGTCAGAAAGGGACAGTAGAACTAAGATCCTTTGAAGATGTGTGTATTCCAGAGGAGTTGGGCTGTCCTTCAAGACAGGCCTCTAGTCCTGCGTTTTATCAGGAACTTCTTCCCCTAGGTACCCTGAGCATATATACTCACCCAAAGTTTGGATATTGGCTAGCCTGGGCACAATGTACTATTCAGACATGCAAGCTACTTCTTGGACTTGCCTAGAGGCTTGGCATAGAAGAATCATGATTCTCTGGCTGGTGCTATGCCCAGTATGCTAGGGACCATCTTCTCTCTTGGCCTTGTAGTGCTTGGTCAGTCAGTTGCCAGGTAAGCATAAGAGATGAGACCGCTATTCTGAAGTGGCCTCATGCCCCTTCGATCTCTGTTGATGGTGAAGTTGACAGGTTCCTTCACTGTGGTCAGGGTCCCCATGCCATCCAAAGAGCAAGACCCTCCAGGTGAATGAAAACAAGAACTGAGTCCAAAATGGAGACCTTCCCCCATTCTGCCTAAATCTCATCTCTGCCTTCCTACTTTCCATTCTGCTCTACCCACCATCCCACATACTCCTGGTGAACTTTTCTCAGATAGTGGCATCACAGGCCAAGGAGTGGGATGCAAATGGCCAGTTGATAACACTGCAGAGACCAGGCATGGAGGCCTGGAGGGAAAGGAGAGGAAAAGCCACTGGGTCTTCTAATAGTGTCACAGAATGCCATATCCAGCCACCTTGGAGGCCCAGGAACCTGTCTCCCATCTGGTTGTGCAGTAACTATGTTCCAGGCGGCAGCAGGGAGGCACTGGCAGAGGCACAGCTCAGGTAAGGAGATGCAAGATGTAGAGGGCTACCTCCGAAGCAGAGAGAGATCCTAAGACCGCTAGGATATAGGTAGTGGGGAGGGGGAACACAGGCTCTCAAGTTTAGTGCCACCAATGCTGGGTGCTTCTTAGTGTTTACCCATCCCAGTACTCTAGGGAAGACTGTGAGAGAAGGTGTGTGCTGAATCCCTTGCCTGTTCCCCTACAGTTTTGGTAGGGCAACCTTAGACACTGACTGAGCAGAAAGCCCTCATGTGGTGGTGTTCCTTATGGGTGTCTGATTTTGCTGGGCTGTTGCCTAGGAACAGCCCTTGAGACGGGCAGTTCACTGGCCAGGGCTGAGGAGACCACCAGGCATGGTGTTCATGCAGGTGCTCATCAGTGCAGGCTACTGACAGGCTGGAGTGCCTGATGGGCTTCCTGCTACCCCATGTGGAGTTACTGGTTGAGGCCTGGCCATGATCCTCTTAGACCTTTCTGGGTACCCTTCATCTGAGCTCTGTGCCCTCTGCCCATTCTCCTGAAGGCAGGTTCACACATGGGCTATGCTTGTGGTCATGTTTGAAGTCCACCCTACTCCATGTCTTATAAAAGTCTCAGCACCAAGTGGTTAGTGAGGCCATCAGCCTGTAACTGAGAAGCTAGTCTCAGAAGGAGAGGCATGCTTGCCACACAGCTCTAGAGTGACCACAGGATTTGTTGTTGCCACTGCCGTGCCTCCTCCTTCTCCTCTTCTTCCTCTTCTTCCTCTTCTTCCTCTTTCTTCCCCTTTCTCCTGCTCCTCCTATTCATCCTCCTATTCTTCCTCTTCCATTTCCCCTACCCCTTCCTTTTCCCTCACTATATTACCCTGACCAGATTTGAACTTGAGAGACTATTACCTCAGCCTTTTCAAATGCATGAATTACAAGTGCACACCACAATGCATAGCTTTAACCTTTACTGCCCTTTTATCATATTGCAGTGCTGGGCCGGGTCAGGGTGTTGGCTGTCAGGGTGTCGTCTTCTGTCAGAGCTACTAGTTGAATGTGTCTGCCTACCTTTATTGGAGTCTGAGGTTCTCTTATAACAAGCCTTGCTCTGGTGAAACAGGTATGTTGGAGTGGGAACAAGGTTTTCTCAATGTGTCTTCCCAGCTATGCTGAACTCTGGCAGCAGGAGGGAAGGTTAATATAGGTCCAGTGGAGATCGGTAGCCTGGTAGAGGTAAGGCTGTCTCTGAAGAGCGGTGCCACCACTGTGCCCACAGGCCACTGTCTCCGTCTGCCTCAACTGTGTGTACAAGGAATCTTCTGTGTAGAGGATGCTGGGAGTGGATGGAGATGCCTAGCTTGAGAGTGCCTGCTCTTTTGGATATCTATATGGAGAGAATATGAACTCACAGCAAAGGCCTAGGAAACGGCAAGGCTGGGAGCTTTAAAGATGAGGTAGTGAGAAGTTCTGTGGCTGGGAAGCTTTATTGAGTAGACCTCATCCCCACTCCAACATGCCTGTTTTAGTTAATTTCCCTCCAGGATATTTCTCAGTAGTATAGCCATGTCCATTACCAGGGAGAGTCAGTGGAGCTGACCTGATCAACGGAACTGTGCTCCTTGATGTCTGTTATGTCTGTGCCACTCAAGGTGAGGCATTGGTGTCTGACTTGCGGTGAGCAAGCAGTGTTTGGGTGTATGGGTGAATGGGACCCTGGATCCCCTAAGTGCAGCAAGGAACTGCTCTGGCCACACCTATGTCAGAGTTCTGTGACAGATAATGATGAAGGAGTTGAGGCTACACAGACTGTAGAGGAGGAGAGGTAGATGCCATGGCTAGCTCCACAAGACCCTCCCCTTGTCTGGGGCTCACTAACACCAAAAAGTTTTAGACTTCACCATGGCTGCTCTGGGGGTTGTTTTTACAGGGTACTGTGGAAAGAGGAAGAAGCAAGGATTTCCCCTGGCATTAGGCCCCGGTGCCACATCTTAGCAGGGACTCTAGAGCCTGTGGAGAAGAGTGAGATAAAAGAGAAGACAGGCATGGTCTGTGGACAGATGAGGGGAATTCCTCTGAAGAAATAGAGCTCTGATGTTTGGGAAGGCTTTTCACAGGCAGTGAGCCAGGAGAATGTGCCTGCCTGCTTTTGCTGTGGTTCCAGCAATCCTGGGCCTGAGTAAAGGAGTAAGATTGCAGAAGGAACTTGAGAGATGGTTTGGTGTTAAAGAATACTGCCTGCTTGTTCAGATGACTTCCAGGTTCAATCCCTAGCATTCACATGATATCTCACAATCACTTGTAACTCCAGTCGCAAGGGATCTCACATCCTCTTTTGGCTTCTCCTGGTACTGTACACACATGGTGTACAGACATATGCAGGCAAAACACCCATACACATGAAATAGTAAAATTTAAAAGAAAATTGCACAAGGCCATGCAGGCCAGGAGGCTTGTGCTCCTGAGAATGTGGTGAGATGCACGTCCGGAGTCTGCATGTGGCAGCACCCTGTGTATACACACAGGCTTCTGAGTGGTGCTGGATTTCTTACTGTACTTGGCTCTGAGATAGCCTGTGGTGCTCAGGCCACTACCACTGGCTGCAGACACCCAGCCATCAGCCAGTGTATGTGGCTAGGCAAGGCTATTGGTCTTCCTTACTGCCCACCTGTGGTTTCACAGTTTATAGTGTTTTCCCACTGGGAATGTTTTCTGAACTGGGCAGGCCAGAAGGCATGTCAGTCTGGGGCAAGGCCTGGAAAAGGGCCCAGACAGAAGGCTGGTGTGTATTGTATTCCTCTTGTTGCTTACTTATCCCTGATCTGGCCTCTGCCTCATGGCTGAGTAGTGCTACTAGGCTCCAGATAGAGTAGGCAGGACCCTGTCTGTAATGCTGACAGCTGCACTCAAACCAGGTTGGGGGTAATCTTTCAGCCTCTTATGAAGCCTACGTATGTATCCTTGAACAGGACTGTTGGCGTTGCTCATTTTAGGCAGCCCCCCCCCTTCCCCAGTTAGGTGCTTACATGGGATGAAGTGACTTGTCATAGTGCAGGAGCCCCTGAGCCTCCCATGTCAGACTCAAGTTCTTTTGTGTGCCTTGATGTTGGCACTTTGAAGGTTGAGGCAGGATGGTGAGTTTGAGTTCAGTCTAGGAAAGACCTTGTACATGTTAAGACTTTATTTAAGGTTAGTACAGAGACATACTTAAAGTTAGTACGATTAAGGCCACATAAATAACCTAAAGCTTGGGCGTGGCTGGCTATGATGCCCTGCCCGTGCCTGCCCACTTTTTAAACTTCTGTGCGTAGAGTCACTATAGTTGACACTCTTGCCTTTAGCTCCTCCCCTTCCACATCTCTCATCTTTGTTCTGCTGCCCCACTTAGCAAGGCAAGTTTATTTTCTCTTGGGCACTGAATACTCAGGGCCCAGTTCACCATAAGGACACGGGGCAGGTGCTTCTGTAAGTGTACCACTTCTGCAGCTAGACCATGCTTCTCTTAAGACTGCCCCTGAAGTGTTGTATGACTTCCCTGCACTATCATTTGAAATGTGGAGCAGGGGACCTTGTCCTGCCTATGAGCAGCGTCCTGGTAACAAGGCATTGCATGTGGAGTGCGTGTCCTGGAGTGTGTGTTTCTGTGTCTTGCCCATTTTCAGCTTGCCTGCCTTTTTCTTACAGACTGTGGGAGTTCTCTGTGGATTTACACCGTGAGCCTCCTCGCTCACATTGTTGCCTCTTCAGTTGCGTTAAAACAACTTGTGGGAAAACAGCCCTTTAATTCAGTCCCATGTATCAGTGAGCTGCACAGAAAAATAGTCTTTGCTTCTGAAAGATGGATGGTCATATAGTCTTTCACATGGGAGTCTACAATGTATATCTGTTAGGTTTATTTTTTATTTATTAATTTAATTTTTGGCGACAGGTTCTCAGTATGTAGCCTTAGCTAGCCTAGAACTCACTGTATAGACAAGGCCGGTCTTGAACTCACAGAGAACCTCTTGCTTCTGCCTCCTGGGTGCTGGTTTAAAGTATGCACCATCATGTCCAACTCTAGCTTTAAAGGGTACCTATGCTGATTGAGCATCACACGCAGACCTTTGGAAGTAGATCCACTAGCATGTGGCCACCGTACCAGGTTCAGTTCCTGGTTCCTTGGGCTTGTCCACTTAAACTCTTTCTACTTCCAGTCCCTTCCTTTCAGGTCACTGTAGTGACTTCTAAGTGTAGAGGGCACCCTTGCATTTGACTACTGCCCTTCTGCGTATAACAGCTGTTCTGCTTCCCCACCATTCTCTCTCCTGACTCTCTCTGGTCCTGGTCTGTAGGCCAATGCTCCTGGCTTTCCCAAGCCCCTGTTGTCCTTTCTTCCTTTGGCCTAGTTTTCTCTGTTCCTGACCCACACTTGTCTCCCAGGTGGTCACCTCAACATGTGTCCTGTGATTAGCCTGGCCACATGGTGTTCTGAAATGTGTCCTGGGATTAGCCTGGCCACGTGGTGTTCTGACATAGAGTAAGGATGCTCTCTGTTACAGGCCTTTGAACAACCCCCCTCACCATGGACCTGGACCCCCATGCAGGTGTGCAGGTGGGCATGCGTGTGGTACGCGGAATGGACTGGAAATGGGGCCAGCAGGATGGAGGTGAGGGCGGTGTGGGCACCGTGGTGGAGCTTGGCCGCCATGGCAGCCCCTCGACCCCCGACCGTACAGTTGTCGTTCAGTGGGACCAGGGCACACGTACCAACTATCGAGCTGGCTACCAAGGTGCCCATGACCTGTTGCTCTATGACAACGCCCAAATCGGTGTGTGTTGATTCTCAGCTGTGGGTGGGGCTGGCCAGGTGACAGGAGACCAGCATGTCCTCACTTAACCCCATCCTACACCTAGGTATCCGCCACCCCAACATTATCTGTGACTGCTGCAAGAAACATGGGCTTCGTGGCATGCGTTGGAAGTGCCGTGTCTGCTTTGACTATGACCTCTGCACGCAATGCTACATGCACAACAAGCATGACCTTACCCATGCCTTCGAGCGCTATGAGACATCGCACTCACGCCCGTGAGTTCCCTAAGCAATAGCCTGCCTCCCCAGGGCCTTCTGACTGGTGCCTTTGACATCCAGTCAGGCTTTGACCTCTGGCCGAGTCACTTCCAAAAGTACCTAGCAAGCCCTCCCTGCATGATTTCCTTGAAGAATAGCCGGGGTCAGGTTATTCTAGAGCCCTGAGAATGTTACTCCCCATTTCTCACTGAAGGCTTTTTCTAGGCACACTGTGAGGTGGATCCCATGGATGGGATTTCCTGTCACTTCACCCTTAGAGACAGGCAAGCGTGACTCTTTAGTACAGTGGCATACTGGAGCACTGAATGTGGTAGCCACATGGATAGCAGAAGCAGTTGAAACATACATCATCCCCTGGTGTCACCAGGCCTGGCAGAGAGGCTTTGTCACCGGGTAGTTCAAGCCCATAGATACAGCTGGGAATGGCCCGGGCCTGATGCAGAGAGATGACAGGAGACAGGTCTTTGTTGGATTGACTTGGGAAGGCAGTCCAACACCATCTTTTATTTTCTACATCGCTTTAATCTTTCCTATATGTGGAGAGAAGTGTAGTATAGGTCTCCTCTTCTGGTGAGCCCGAGGTGAGGGTAGGTGTCAGTTCTGGTGGCTAGATAACGTTTCATTTCTCTGGGCCAGGCTCTGCCCCTGCTGCCCTATAGGCAGCAGTCATGACTGATCGCATGGACTATGCTCCAAGAGTCATCTCAGGTCTCTTTCCAGCCTGGTTTTGGTGAAAGTCTCTGAGCCCAGAGACATTGGATAGTTTGTTCCCTCTCCCAAAGTGGAGGTCTGCTGGGAAACCATTCAAGGGCAGTAGTTTGGCCTGAGATCCAGAATACCTACCCTATAGACCCCGATGCTGATATGACAGATGGGCAAGGTGGGTGGCACAGAACCTGGCCATCACTGCTGTGTGCCTCAGACTCATTCTCTTACAGGGTTACGTTGAGTCCCCGACAGGGCCTCCCTCGCATCCCACTGAGGGGCATCTTTCAAGGAGCAAAAGTGGTACGAGGCCCTGACTGGGAATGGGGCTCACAAGATGGTGAGTGGTGGCTGGAGAGAGACAGGGAGGCGAAGCTGGTTACAGCTCAGCCTTAAGGCACACTAAGCTTGTCAGTGTGCATACTGTCTTACCAGGAGGCGAAGGGAAGACAGGCCGTGTGGTGGACATCCGTGGCTGGGATGTGGAGACAGGCAGAAGTGTGGCTAGTGTCACATGGGCAGATGGAACCACCAATGTGTACCGAGTGGGCCACAAAGGCAAGGTGGATCTCAGATGTGTTGGTGAGGCAGCTGGCGGCTTTTACTACAAGGAGCACCTCCCGAAGCTTGGTATGGGGCTGGCTCTGACACCAGCTGCCCTCCTGCCCTGACTGTACCTGTGTCACCCTGGCATGTACTGTTTGGGGTGGGCAGGTTTGCTTCCTGAGGCCTAGCCTGCCACCCTCCCCCCAGGCAAGCCAGCAGAGCTGCAACGCAGGGTGAGTGCTGATGGCCAACCCTTCCAGCGTGGGGACAAGGTCAAGTGTTTGCTGGACACAGATGTCCTAAGGGACATGCAAGAAGGCCATGGTGGCTGGAACCCTAGGATGGCAGAGGTGAGCCACCTCTTCTGCTGACTCCCTATGGGCTCCCCTTCCCAAGTCCTTTGGACCCCTATCCCTCTTCCTGCCCCAAGCGTCCAGCCTGACCCAGCCATAGCCTCCGTGACCCGCCACAGTTTATCGGACAGATGGGCACCGTGCACCGCATCACAGACCGTGGGGACGTGCGTGTGCAGTTCAACCATGAGACCCGCTGGACCTTCCACCCTGGGGCTCTCACCAAGGTGCCTAGGGGGCTGGACTGAGCCCCACTTATTGCTTCTCTAATTTCCTCCGTGTACCTGTTCAGTCTTGGGAGTGGTTACGCAGGACTAGGCACCAGTCTCCCCAGGAGTTTGCAGACCTGAAGGAAGGGGAGAACCTGGTGGGTGGAAGTAAGACCAGATGGGAACACAGGTGTGAGGGACACAGGAGAATGAAGTACAGACGTCTGAGACTAGAACCTGTGGGCCAAGGGCTCTGTCCTGAGAACAAACTTGGGGTTGCTCGCCATACTGTCTTGAGATGCTGCTTGCACCACGGAGACAGATGGAGTAGTCTGTAAGGAGACTGAAGGAGCCAAAGGTGTTGGAGACTAGGTTGAGTAGATTCTGTGAAAGCTGTTTGGAACACTGGACTGTGGAGATGAGACATGTGCCAGATAGGTGGGAACGTCCAGTGTGAACCTAGAGGAGGGTACTTTAGAGCAGGTTCATTCTGCACATGAGTGTGTGCATAGATCCCTACAGGAACCCCACACCCCAACTGGCCCTACCTACCTTCCTTCCCAGCCTCTCACCCAACTCCACCCTCATCTTCTTTCCTGGATCTATACTGCATTTCCCATGCTGCCTTGCATCTGGTCAGTGGATAGGGACCCTCACAGCAGGTCTTCTTGACCTTCACACATCTCCAGAGCTGGACTTTGGTCTCTGCTTCTCAGACTGTTATCCCCTATGGCTCAGGCTGGCCACCCAGGCTTATTTTGGTCACCTGAGGCCCTTGAGCAGCCAGACCATTTGGTTGTATTTGAGGCAGGAACTGGGGCCAAGGTTAAGTCTTCTTGCCCTCCTACATGACCCTGAGTAGACACAAGTAGCTGGAGGAACTCCCCTCATTGGATTCTCTGTCCTCCAGCACAACAGCTTCTGGGTGGGTGATGTGGTCCGGGTCATCGATGACCTTGATACTGTGAAGCGACTGCAGGCTGGACATGGTGAATGGACTGACGACATGGCCCCTGTGAGTCTTAATGTCTGTTGTCAACACATCGTCCCCACCCCCCACTGCTGTCTATGCCACCTCTGACCTGTTGTGATCCCACCTCTTCTCCTCAGGCCCTGGGCCGAGTAGGGAAGGTGGTGAAGGTGTTTGGAGATGGAAACTTGCGTGTGGCAGTTGGCGGTCAGCGGTGGACTTTCAGCCCCTCCTGCCTAGTGGCCTACCGGCCTGAGGAAGATGCCAACCTGGATGTGGCTGAGCGTGCCAGAGAGAACAAAAGTGCGGCATCAGTCTCAGTGGCTGGTGGGAGGCAGGGCAGCCCCTGGCCAACACTTACCTCAACCCTGCCCCCAGGCTCACTGAGTGTGGCCCTGGACAAGCTTCGGACCCAGAAGAGTGACCCAGAGCACCCAGGGAGGCTGGTAGTAGAGGCTGCACTGGGAAATGTAGCCCGGGCTCTGGATCTACTGCGAAGGCATCCAGAGCAGGCAAGTGACCACCCTGTCCTTCCTATAGCCATTAGGGAGAGTGCTCAGAGTTCATGTGCTGGCTTTCTTCACAGGTGGACACCAAGAACCAGGGCAGAACTGCCCTGCAGGTGGCTGCTTACCTGGGCCAGGTAGAGCTGGTACGGCTGCTGCTGCAGGCCAGAGCAAGTGTGGACCTGCCAGATGAGGAGGGCAACACTGCGCTGCACTACACAGCCATGGGGTGAGGCCTGGGCAGGCTAGTGGGTCCTGTTGGGAAATGAACTTTAGGGCCAGTGTGCAAATGGACTGTTCCCAAACCCTCCCACTTCTTCCTTTAGGAACCAGCCTGAGGCCACAAGGATGCTCCTGAGTGCAGGATGTGGGGTGGATGCGCGGAATGGCACACGTAGCACAGCCCTCCATGTGGCTGTACAGAGGGGCTTTCTAGAGGTGGTAAAGATCCTGTGTGAACGTGGTTGTGATGTCAACTTGCCGGTAAGTGATAGTCTGTGGATTCTCTGCCACTAACCAGCCTTAGGTCAAGGACCTAGGAGAAAGGCACTGCTGTGTGACCACCCCCCCTCTGTTGCAGGATGCCCATGCAGACACACCCCTGCATTCTGCCATCTCTGCGGGTGCCGGTGCCAGCAGCATTGTTGAAGTCCTCACCGAGGTGCCTGGCATCGATGTCACTGCTACCAATAGCCAGGGCTTCACACTGCTGCACCATGCATCCCTTAAGGGCCATGTGCTGTGAGTGTGGGGGTTGGGCATACTGTTGTCACCCAGCCTTTTGACCTACTGCCAGGCTATTCTGATCCAGAGCACTTGGTGAATTGCTTAGAGAAGCCCATGGACATGCCTTCTTGTTCCTACAGAGCAGTTAGAAAGATTCTGGCAAGGGCACGGCAGCTGGTGGATGCCAAGAAGGAAGACGGCTTTACTGCACTACATCTGGCAGCTCTCAACAACCACCGTGAAGTGGCTCAGGTCCTAATCCGAGAGGTGGGTACAGGTTGTCTCAGGGCCACCTGAGGCCAGGAACCAGACCAAGTGGGATGTCAAAGCTGAGCCTGTGCTCGCCCTTTCCCCTAGGGTCGCTGTGATGTGAATGTGCGTAACAGGAAGCTTCAATCCCCACTGCATCTGGCCGTGCAGCAGGCTCACCTGGGGCTGGTACCGCTGCTAGTGGATGCAGGCTGCAGTGTCAACACTGAGGACGAGGAGGGCGATACAGCCCTACATGTGGCACTACAGCGCCATCAGCTGTTGCCCCTGGTGGTTGACAGGGCTGGGGGAGACCCAGGGCCCTTGCAGCTGCTGTCAAGGGTGAGGAAGTATGGTGTGGGTACTGGAAAGGAGGGCCTGGGCGAGTTTCCATTTCCCATTATACTCCAGGGGACCAGGGTTTCTGGAGAGTAGGGCAGTTTGGAACCCTGAGTTTCAGGAGTCATCCTCTAATCCAGACCAACCTAGAAAAAGTTGTGGGCTCATTTGGGATGAAGGATCTGAGTTTCTGCACCTGCCCAGCAATGGGCACCTTTGGGGCCTGCTTTCCCCACTCTTCCTAGAACCAGAAGCCTTAGCCCAGACAACAGTACCATGTTCAGACTTCTGGGGTAGCCCAATGCCAGCAAAGGCTTTTTCAAGTCTTTCTGGGTTTCCACCCTTATCTGTATGTCCTGCCACTCAGCTACAGGCCTCAGGCCTCCCAGGCAGCACAGAGTTGACTGTAGGCGCTGCAGTGGCCTGCTTCCTGGCATTGGAGGGTGCTGACGTGAGCTACGCAAACCACCGAGGCCGGAGCCCACTGGACCTGGCCACAGAAGGCCGAGTGCTCAAGGCCTTGCAGGGCTGTGCCCAGCGCTTCAGGTGAGCCCATGATGGGGACTGTGTAGGGGGGCAACCATTAAGGCCATCAGGCCACCTTTCAAGCCCCCTCCTCCAACTGCAGGGAGCGACAGGCAGGTGGCGGTGGGGGTGTGCCCCCGGGCCCCCGGCATGTGCTGACTACTCCTAACACCGTGACGAACCTGCATGTCTCTGGCACAGCAGGGCCAGAGGCTGCCGAGTGCCTGGTGTGCTCGGAGCTGGCATTGCTAGTTCTGTTTTCACCGTGTCAGCACCGCACAGTGTGTGAGGGTGAGTTCGGGGTGTGGAGGACCGGGGTGGCCCAGCTGCCTAGTCCAGCCCTACTAACAGTGCACTGCCCCTGGCAGAGTGTGCTCGAAGGATGAAGAAATGTATCAGGTGCCAGGTGGTCATCAGCAAGAAGCTACGCCCAGGTGGGTAGAATGGAGTTTGGCCTGGCTCCTCCTTGTCCCGTGGCATGCTCACTAGCCTGCACCTAATCTTCCTACTGTTGCTGATTCCCACTCACCTCATCCCACAGACGGTTCAGAGGTGGTAAATGCCATCCAGGTCCCTGGCCCGCCTCGGCAACTGGTGGAGGAGCTACAGAGCCGCTACAGGCAGATGGAGGAGCGCATCACCTGCCCCATCTGCATCGACAACCACATCCGTCTAGTGTTCCAGTGCGGCCATGGAGCGTGCGCACCCTGTGGCGCTGCGCTTAACGCCTGCCCCATCTGCCGCCAGCCCATCCGTGACCGCATTCAGATCTTCGTGTGAGCGCACTCCACACGCTGTGGCTGATCCCAGACCCTCCTTCAAAACCCCTGTATTTTATAAAAAGATTATCGGACTTTGCTTCCCGTTCCTTGCCTAAGGGTGTTGGGCAGGCCCCAGAGATCCTCACCGGCGGCGGCCCCCCCCCCCCCACCCCCCGCCCGGCATCCGGCTCCAGGCTGCTTGTAGGTCAGGAACATACTCTGGTTGAGGATACAGGCCTGCATAAGTGCTCTGGCTGTGATTTGACACAAGAGGGCTCAGGAACTCCAAAAGGCATAGGGAGCCCACCCCACTTTGCGCTTCTTCCTTCCCTGATACTCCTTCCATCCCTTTAGGGCAGGACTTGAACTGTGAAGGTTTTGGCCAAAGCAAGACGACTAGAGAGGGTACTGGGTTGGAAGCCACCAAGCTCTTGACAGTTGTTGAGCTGGGGCAGAGGGAGGAAGCAAGAAGAGGGTCCACTTGTTGGAACAAATACTTAGTAACGAAGGGAGTGGGCAGATGGCTGACCCTTTTCAAGAACTTCCAGCGCGAAGCTATTCCGGGCCGCAGGGCGCTTCAGCTGTTTGGCTCTGACTCTGCTGGCTGGTACATTGTTGCAATCACCTAGGGTCAAAAGCCCGCACCGAAGACTGGGAGGGGAAGACTGGGAGGGAGAAGACGAAGACTGGGAGGGGGAAGGAGCCCTTTCTCCTTCGCCTGCTCTCACTGCCTCACTCACCCACCCACAAGCCGCTCTGTCCGGGATCGCAGCTGTGCCAGACATCATTTCAGTTGCCATGCTGCGTTCATTCTGTACCCACCTAGCACAGCTATCGGCTACCTGGTCTAGTTTTCAGACCTTGGACCATAGCTCCTAGCCCTACTGCGCCTGACCACCATACTCAGCTCCTGATTCAGTTCCCTTAACCCCCTCTCCTCCGAGGCTGGGCAGGAATTCCAGGTCCTGGTACCCTCCCCAAACTTCCTGCACTGGTCCAACGAGAGCACCCTCTGGTTAAAGCAGATGTCCTAAGGACTCCCACTGGTCTCCTCCTCCTTGTCTTTCCTGAGGCATCTTTCCTACTGCAATCTCTCCCCTCTGCCCGCTCAGCCACCCTGCTCTCAATGCCACGTCCCCTCGCTCTGCGCTCTGCGCTCCTCTCTGGCGGGTATGCTCCCTACACTCAGTCACTGCGGGCCAGAACCGAGGCTCCCCTCCCGATTTTCATTATGGGGCCAGAGGGTTGAGGGGAAAAACTAAAGGCCATTCAGCTCCAACCAAGCGGGCGCAGGGAGGGGAGCAACTGAGCTCCTACCCCAAATCTGAGCGCCCCTGCAACTCGTATCCTGATAGACCCCCGACACTGCGGGCTGTGTTCTGGCCTCTGCCGCCGACCCTATGGCCTGGTTCCTGGAATCCCACCGGGGGATGCGGACTGTCCTAGACAGGCGAGCTGTTTCCCTACTTGAGCCAGAGCAGCCGGGTTCTCACCCCACCATAGGGCTGTAACTCGAGCCGTCTGCCGCCCACCCCCTTCCCACTCCACCCCAGCTCTGCGATCCAGATCCCTACGTCGCGCGGCCCCTTGTGGCCCTAACCCGACTGCAACTCTGCCATGGGCTGCCGGGCCTGTCTCCGTCCGGAGGCGTCCAGCGCTGTACAGGGCCGCTGGTTGGGGGCTGTCCTGAGCGGGTTGTGCCTTCTCTCCGCGTTGGCATTGCTAGAGTGGCTAGGGCCGCCGCCGACAGAGACCACCTGGAGTGCAGCTCAGGTGAGAGAACTAAAGGGATTGGAGGTGCGAGGAGCAGGTCAGCATCTGAGGGTGTTATCAAGTGGGCCCGTGTGTGTGTGTGTGTGTGTGTGTGTGTGTGTGTGTGCGCGTGTGCATTGGGGGGGGGGTTGTGGGTTGTGGGATTGCATATGAGTACTTGGTTCCAAGCATCTTGAGTCAGCGTTTCCAGCAGTCGCTGGAGGTGGGAGACAAGCATCCATCTCAAACTCTGCCCATTCCCAGTAGGTTTTTAAATTTTATTTTTCGGTTTTTCGAGACAATGTTTCCTTGTGTAGACCAGGTTGACTTCTGTAGACCACCTGCCTCTGCGTTCAGAGATTAAAGGCATGCACCACCATGGCTGGCACAACTCCCACCGGCTGTTTGCCGGGGTGCTGGCTTAAACAACTCATGAAGGGTGGACTAAACAAACAAATCCACAGCCTCCTCCTATCCCATTGCCTAAAAGTCCGCTTTCAACAACAACCTTGGGTATTAGAGACTGTTCCTCTCTCCTTCTTACATCTTTCTTCCTGTGAAGGGAAATGTAGATGCGCCAAAGGCAGGTGGCTCCACTGCTCAGGTACCCAGCCTATTGACCATGCTGATAACCCGGAGACGCCGCTACACACTGACACCGGCCAGGCTGCGCTGGGACCACTTCAACCTCACATACAGGTGCCACCTGGACTGGCGAGGAGGGTAGGTCAGACCTTAACTCAGACTGTCGCCAACACTGATTCTAACATACTACTGCCACCCTCCCTCCCCAGGATTCTCTCCTTTCCACGGAACCTTTTAAGCCCGGAAGAGACCCGGCAGGGCCTAGCTGCTGCCTTTCGAATGTGGAGTGATGTTTCCCCATTCAGTTTCCGCGAGGTGGCCCCTGAACGTCCCAGTGACCTAAAGATAGGTGGGTAACTTAAGTGCTCCTGACCACGCCCAGCCTCGCAGGTATTATTTGCAGCCTTGTGTTTTCCTAGGTTTCTACCCAGTCAACCACACTGACTGCTTGGTCTCTGCTCTGCACCACTGCTTTGATGGTCCCACGGGTGAACTGGCCCACGCTTTCTTCCCACCCCATGGTGGCATTCACTTTGATGACAGCGAGTACTGGGTCTTGGGCCCCACTCGCTACAGCTGGAAGAAAGGTGACCCAACTCCTTGGTCTGTCCTGTTAGGGGTGTCATCCTCTCCTCCGTGGTAGGCTACAAAGGGTTTGAGGCAGGAAGGGTTTCCTGGGGCTGAGTATTTGGGTGGCTGCTTATAGGGTCAAGCAATTGAGGAAGAGAAACTCTGGCTCTCACAGGCCTGAGTTGTCGTCCCCGCACCCCCCTCCCCCACATGCCACTGAAGAGGGAGTTGGAGTTGCATTCCTGAAGGCCAAGCTCACAGCCTAGGCTGGGAAAACATACTTATCTTCCTTGGCTGTGGGTTAAGGGTGGCTTGCAGCTGAGTCCCAGAATCAGCACTGGGCCTCCTGGAGCAAGACTGGGAGTGGAAGTCCTGAGGGCTCCCTGCTAAGCCACTGGCCCACAGGTGTTTGGCTCACAGACCTGGTGCACGTGGCAGCCCATGAGATTGGCCATGCACTGGGACTGATGCA